AACATTTTTCTCAGTTTTAAGTATATATTTAGGTATAACCCAGGCAAAATAAATAATAAATTTATTACTTGTCAATAATTTCTATCCAGTGACATCATATACCGACGAGTTTCAAGAAGAAAGCGACGAATTGTTGTATACGGTTCGGTCACTCGTTATGGTCCGCAATCAGTTGCCAACGCGAGAGGGTTAAATCGAGACCTTAACTTATATCGCGAATACGACTCGATATTATAAGATATTATAAGGAGTTTAAACCGTCGTTTTGGCGCGATATCAAGGCAATTATGTGAACCGCCATTCTCCACCCCCTTTCCTTGCCATTCCGCCGATTTCCTATTTCATCTTGCGCACGGATATCCGCTCCTACGGTCGTTAGTCCCGGTGGCACGTGGCCGCATCGTATCGCGGCCGTGACACTGCACTTAACCATCGACCAGCAGTCATAATGATTCTCCGGCGATTGCAGTTTTCAACGGGAAGGAAAAGCCCGCGAACTCCACGGTGGGCCCATTCATTGCGCTTTGTATTATCTATATCTATATTATATTATCTATATCTAATGTACCATCTTTATATTTTAATATACCACGCTTTTATTTATATCGATCACACACCTTTCCTCCGCGTTGATTTATCGAGAAATGGAGACGAAGGAGAATTTATCTTGGAGATATCATGACCTAACCAGATGTGCATTTTGATTCGCGAGTGACGGGATTTCTCTTCATGTGAGAAAAAAATGTGGTATAATTTCAATTAAACTGAAAATTGATAAATAAAAATTACATACAACGTTTCGAATACTTTGAATGTCCTGAGTTAATTTTACAGTTTCAATAGGTAATGCTTACTCATTAAAATTGAAAAGAAGAGATTTAGTTTTAAAAATCCCTCAGAGAAGCAACGACGAGAGTACACACGTATCGAAGAGTAATTGTTCCCATTATAAATTTGACAATTTAACTGCTTCGACGTATATACACGTCTACAAACATGCGGTTGACGTGTAAAATGAAAATAAAAATTACCGTTTACTTTAAAAACTCCAAATTTCAATGAGGACGTAATGAAAATGTCATTTGGTGGTATGCTGCCTTCATATTGCCAATAAAATTGCTATGCATTTTATAAAAAAAAAAAAAAGTTTGATTGTTCTCTTTGGTAAAATACACAAAACAATTCGGATGCATAACAGATGCACTGAGGAGAATAGTCAACTCAGTTTGTAGAAAGTAATCCATTGTACGAGGAATATCCGACATACCGAACTTTTTTTTTTTTTTTATAAAATGCATAGCAGTTTCATTGGTAATATAAAAGTAACATACCACCAAATGACATTTTTATTACTTCTCATTGAAATTTGGAGTTTTTGAGATAAATGGCAATTTTTTACTTTACACGACGATTTTTTTATATACACGTCGAACGCAGTTAAACTGGTACTAGAGACCACAATTTTACGCATGTTTAATATCACAATTAGACGCATATTTAATATATTTTATATTTAATATATAATTTTAATATCTTTCATATTAATATATATTTAATATAGAAATGAGATTCAGTCTAAAAATTCTATTAGTGCAGATTTTCATACTTTTTCGAAAAATAGGATCTTGAAATCCTAGAGGGAAGATGGAAAGAAAAAAATTTTCCAGATAGAAAACTGTGACTGTAACTGTGTAGAAAGTACTGTGTGGTCTACATACAGGGTGTGTCGCAAATTGGCGAACGACCAACTGAGGAACGATTCGAGACGAGAGAGATATATACGGTGGAGATATTCGTTTCGACTTTCTAAAAACGAGCACACGATCGCAAATTTATAAAATTTCGATGAAAAATCAAGATAACCAACTGGTTATCTTGATCAAACTGGTAAAGTGATAAATCAATCGTATCTATGAAAAAAAAAGAAAAAGTCTGAGATACATCAAAACCACTCGAGGACGATATTCATGTACAAATGTAATACGAATGACATATCTACATTTTTATTAGACAGCGTGTATCGAGTATGTATTGAACTGGCATGATGTAACTTGATAAAGCAGGCGAGTTGCTCGCACGTGCGTCTGATGCTCGGTTCGCTAATTATTTAAACACTTCAATCAGATCTACTGTTCCCCCAAGTTTAAATATTTTGGATTGCGACATTCTATATATTTTTATGGATTTCTGAACTCTATATTTTTATGAAATTTATTATATATTTACTATATTACTGTATTACTGTGTATTTACTATATTTACTATATTACTGTGTATTTACTATATTTACTATATTACTGTGTATTTACTATATTTACTATATTACTGTGTATTTACTATATTTACTATATTACTGTGTATTTACTATATTTACTATATTACTGTGTATTTACTATATTTACTATATTACTGTGTATTTACTATATTTACTTTATTATATTTTCTTTATTTATTATATTTACTATATTACTATGTATTTACTATGCTCACTATATTACTATATATTTGCTATATTACTTTACTATACTATTACTATATTACTCTATATTTTCTATATTAAACATGTGCGACACTGCAAATTAATAAATGAAAGTTTGAAAAGAAGGTTTTGTTTATAAATCTTTAAAAATGCACCGTTTCTATGAAAAATCACGTTTGGTCAATTTCAAGCTGCACATTGTTAATTTAATGCATTTTCACATACAATCTTTTTATACATAACACTGATTGAAATTGTGTTTAACTATTTGAATACGCTGTGTTATATATAGGAAGTGCTATTGTCAAGTTTTCATTTACAATCTCAGTTTCCCGACCTAGATCCCATAGAAATTAAAATTCGACAATAAAAATTCGTAAAACTCCAATTATGGCAGAATATTAAAAAAAAATATATATATATATATATATTAAACACGTCTGAAAAAAGTCTCCAAGATATTCACTCCAAGTTTATCCTGTAAAAGATATATACAAATATTAATTACAATACTTTGCCATTAAATGAAAAATGGAAATTGTTGAAAATGGAAATTACTTTGATTCAATCCATATTTTGAAAAGACAATGAAAGCTTGTTTTTGAATGAAACAACATTTGACATGCATTAACCTAATATTTACTTGCATGAACCTAACTTAACCTGCAGTTTATTATAATTGCAATTTACACAGATTCCGTACCGATAAATTTGTATTATTATTTTATTATCGATATATATTTATTTTATAATTTTGGACAAATTTTATTATTATTTTATTATCGATATATATTATTTTATAATTTTGGACAAATTTTATTATTATTTTATTATCGATATATATTTATTTTATAATTTTAGACAAATTTTATTATTATTTTATCATCGATATATATTTATTTTATAATTTTGGACAAATTTTATTGTTATTTTATCATCGATATATATTTATTTTATAATTTTGGACAAATTTTATTGTTATTTTATCATCGATATATATTTATTTTATAATTTTGGACAAATTTTATTGTTATTTTATCATCGATATATATTTATTTTATAATTTTGGACAAATTTTATTGTTATTTTATCATCGATATATATTTATTTTATAATTTTATTATCGAATACTTCAAGAAAGAGCTTAAAATTTCAAAACAACGAAGTAGAAAAGGAAGCCAAACCTAACTTACACCCTGTTACCGATCCATCGACTTTATCAAAACGATCAAGATTCGAAAGAGATTGATCTCCATAAAAAGTAACTTCACGGTAAACGAGAGTGACTTACATTTTCATCTCGTTAATTCGTTCTAAAAGCCAGGAAAATACTCGACGGTGGGGATAAAAAGTGTCAAGTTTTTCGAAAGTATCGCGAACCTCCGAGAGATGCTTAAGGCACGTATGCAAAAAAACGATGATCACAAGATACGGATCGTTTTCTAACGAGCCTCCACAAAACTCGGATCATGGAACGAGCTCAAAATACACGCCCGATTCAAAGTAATTTCAATCACTAATTTCCCTTGCTCGATTATCAACGCGACCTTCTCTAATTATAGGGTCGTATTTGTTTCGAGTAATTGATAAAAGACGTTAGAGACTTTACTTTATCGTTGGATCGTGGCATTATCGCGTCCCAGGCGTTGGAATGAATGTATCGTGTTCGCGACGCGAACAGTTCTCGCCCGTGGAAATATTCCTGCCGATAGTTGGATCAAAAATTGAACGGTCGATAAGACCGTTCTACTGCAAACAAAGAAATAAGCCGGCACGACTGGTTGTAGAACGAAAAAAAAGGCAACTAATATAGAGAAACACGATCGCCGCGGAATTTTCTGTATTTACAACGTTAACGATCACTTGGTAAACTATTAGTTAAAATCTGTTGGATCATTTGAAAATGAAATATCGTGACTATTAATTAGGTTGGTTTAAAAAACGATGTTTAAATCGAACGATGTTTAAAGAAGCAAAAAGCATTAATGATAAACTCTTGTTTGGTCCTTAACCTATTGCCAAGAACGTCGAGAATTTTTGGTCCCAAAACTGCAATATTTTCTCTAGTTTCAAGTATGTCTAAATATAACCCAAGCAAAATAATAAATCTAATGCTTCTTAATCATTTCTTTGTTACTTCTTAATATTTCTAACGTCCAGTGATATTCCGAGCGAGTTCAAAAACGAAGCGACGTATTTTATACGGTTTGGTCACTCGTTATGGTCCGCAAACCAGCGCAATGGAGGTTAACTTTCAGAGGGCGCGCATTTTTCAGGTAAAAGGTGGCGATTACTTCTGAGAAACTCGCGTACAAATATGAGAAAGGGACTTGGGGCACGTTCGTTTCGAAATACTCTCTATGTAACTTGATCGCGGACTGTCAGAACTTCTTTTACATTTTCTACGCTTCAGAGGAAGAAGAAAAAAAAAACAACAACAACAACACGAGTTTCGAAGGAAACTGAAGATGCTGGATCGACTGGAGAGCGAGAGACGAGAAACGAGAAAGGTTTGGCTCACCGAGCAGATAATGTCGTATCCATTTTTTCTTGGGCGGGGGCGGCATCCAGCTGCGCACCGGCTCGTCGTTGACGACCACGTCGATTATACCGACGACCTGCGCCGGCATCAGACTATTCGCGTCTCTTAGCCCGTTCACATTGTTATTCGCCTCGTTATCGATGTCGATCGCACGCTGCGCGCCCGTGGCTTTAACCGCGTTCAAATTCATACGAGGCTGAACCGCCGCTGTGCCATCCGAGACCAATAGAACACCCATGTTCCTGACGGTCGAGCGCGCGATCTCTGTTTCCCCCCGTTTTGCGCCGTGCACGAGAACACGCGCCAAAGAAAAGACAGAGAAAAGAAAAGAAAGAAAGGAAAGAAACGAAACGAAACGAAAGAAAGACCGAAGCACTTGCCCGCACTAGACGTTACCGGATATACATGGCACTGGTACACAGTCAGCGAACGTCTCTTCTCTTTGTTTTTCTTCACCTCCCTCAGCACGTCCGAGAAACTGTTTCCATATCCATTTGCTATTCTCCCCGATAGAATTTTCCGCTCAGACGGGTGAATTTATAATGGGACTAGATAGGCCACTATCCTCCACCACCTCCACTTCTGTCTTCCGAGTGAATTGAGAGTTTTCTTGCCGCACACGATAACTATCCACCACAACGTGCACACACATAGGACACGCCGACGACTTTGGAACTTTCTTCGATAGGAACTTCGATCTGTACGCGCAAGCGACGACGTTACGCGTATTTTTTTTTTTTTTTTTTTTCCTTAAACGACAACGAACGAGAGGTAGATAGACACGTCGTTGTCGGTCGGTGGTCGAGATCGTCGAGCACGCATAGCCTTGCGATGACCGATAAAACCGATCGTCGTATGCTGGACGCTCGAAAACAAGTGGAAACGACCGGGGAATGCGAGGCGCGTGGAAAAAGAGAGTGGGCTGCGTCGCACAGTTTCACACGGGCAGGGAGGAGGGAGGGGAGGAGAAGCAGTTACGACGAATGAATACGACGGCGAGGTCGTTGTCTATATACCGGCAACCGGGAGGGAAAAAAAAAAAAAAAAAAAAAATCAGAACTTTCGAAACACTCGTGGGTCTCGTGCGTGACTCTCGTCTCGCCTTCTGACGAATCACCCCGTGGCTTTTCTGTGCCGGGCGATATCTCAACGTGCAGACGTCCCTTAATCGTGCATCGTTTCGAAGGATGGGCCGAAGGATGACTGTTGGAAAGGCGTACGTGCCGAATGATCTTCAGTACTGTCGGTTCGTGCGTGAGGAAACCTAGGAAAGACACTGTATCCTATACAGTTCTCACTTGTGTAATCCCTCGAGTGATAAAGCGGTGGGTCTCGAGTATCGGTGTATCCGCAACGACGCACAACCTCGACCAGCGACCTTTTGCGCGTATCTAATAGCCAGTCTGACTTTTCATATATATACATATATGTGTGTGTATGTTTGTGTGCGTACACGCAGCTCCGCGACTTGGTCCTTTATGCAACTATATATTATACGACACGACGAGTACGTGTCCTCCCTGGAATCAATTTGAAAAACCGTCGATCGATAAACGAGAAGAGTTCGAAACGGTGCAATTGCCGGTGGTGTATTGGCTTTCAATGAAACAACGAGCGATCACTCGTATCGATCGTTCGATCGCGCGTGCGTGGACCTCGCCAAACGAAGGAAACTCCGTGACCGCGTGAGCCGCGGGTGCCGACTGAGGTCTAAACGTAAGTGCCACCGCCTCCAACCTGAGGATGACGATCCCCTGGCTCCCTTACCCCACTTCTTCCGCCAGTACACGCCGCCAGTGGCGACGGCAGCAGCAGCGACGCCGACCAACTCCTCTCTTCTCCTCTCTCCGCCGCTCGGCCCACCGCCGCCGCCTTCCGTGACATCTCCGTTCGCGCGAGAGCTGCCTCCAGTCATCCGCGACACTCTGTCCTTGTCGCCCGAGGGTACGCTGCCTATCTCCCACTTCGTCGAGCGCACGACACGTACGCGTACACGTACACCACCGTTCTGCGACTCGCGTTGAAACTCGAAACGTCCGTCGCGAAATCGCGTGTGCATTTCGAAACGTAATCGGAGCGAACGAGAATCGTTAGCCTCGCACAATGATGGAGGAGAGGGGGAAGGAAAAAAAACTCGCCAACAAACAGAGAAAGATTGAGTCGTTTGATTTCGAAGCGCGCGTTCCTCGATGCAGGCTCCTCCTTTATCTACTTGTTCCAGTAACTGTTACTCGTTTTTTTCCCCGCACTCGTTCGTCGACAGACGATGTATGTTGCCTACACATGGACAAACTGGACGATCTTTGTCGATCATTGGCGACAGGCGTTAGGAATCGAAACGATCGATTCAGGGTTAGTTAACGGCGGCGGCTCGAAGGTGGCCGAGAAAAGGACAGTCATTGTACGCTCTCTGAATTTTGTAGTTAAAAATACACGAGGTTCGACTGACGGCACCGCAAGGACACCGCAAGGGCGTTAATACGCGTGGTGCGATCGTGTGCTCGATCGAAATTGACCAGCTGCCGTTAACTGTGTTTTCGACTCATCGTCGGAAGCTTTACACTCTTCGTATCGGGCGAAACAACGCTCCTAAGACACGTAATACCAGTAGTCCCCACGTAACTGACCGACAGTCAGAAACTGGCCAATTAAGCGGGGTGGTGTATTCCAGGAATCGAAAGAAAGACTGAGCTTGAGCGTCAAATGTTTCACCAATACCATATATATCGTGTTACGTGCCAGTGTTATGTTTCACGTGGCCGCAACGAACGTAGAGGGGAGAGTCCCAATTCCAAGATTTGGTGGAGATAAGCGGAGTCCAAAGTGTGGTCAGTTACGTGGGGACTGCTGTACATATTTCTTTCTTCGACGCACTTACCGTCGATAATGAGCATCTTCTCCTCGCAGAACAAGTCATCCTGCTCTGTACGCTCCCTCTTCAATTTGGCACCTGGAAACGGAGTAACGAAAGTCAATGAGAAGAAAGCATACAATGGAAATTAATTGTTCGCAAGTTCTTTTAACTTATTATTCTAAAATTCCACCCTGACAACTGAAACAACACGTCTTGTACAAATCAGCATTTCCCTTACATCCTATCCGCCCGCTACAATGCAATGCCAACCGATAAACGGACCGAAAGCCCCTTCCATCCTACATCCGACGTTCCGACTGCACTTCCGGATCCTTCGTCGGACTTCCTTGCGAACGCATCTTCTCGCAACGCGACGGCTGAATCCACAGGTCGATAAGGTATGAAAAATTGAAAGAGGCGCGTCTCCACGTGCTAGGAGGGTGGGGATGGGCAAGGATATTCCCCTAGATCGGCAGGGTGAGCGGGCAACGATGCAGCGGGTGGGGAGGAGAAACGAAAACGCCGGGTAGCACCGTCCGCTGTTTCGTTTCGTCTCTGTCGCTCCCTCTTTCACCGGGTCAGTCGAGGACTTGGCAACGTCGCGATTGATCAGAACGCCACGCGGCCGGACACGCGTGGTAGGGGGCTCGCTGGGGACAGGGCGCATGCGCACTCGGGCGTACTCGTTTGCCCGCGTGCTTGGCTTCTCAGCCGAGCACAGTGCACCGCCGTTGCTCCGCGTTTTGCTCCGCTTTGCAGTTTGCCCTTATTTACCCTGTTCCTCTAGTCTAACCTACTTTATTTCGTTACGATCCGCGATCGAAATACATTCTCGCGTCTATGTCTCAGTGGTGAATACCGTGCCCTTCTTTCTTTCTTTCTTTCTTTCTTTCTTTCTGCCGCGCAATTTCGTCCTCTCGTACTTTCGTCCTCTATTTTTCCCCCTCCCGCCGGACTACTCATACAAAGATAGGTAATCTGCGCGTATCTGGCCAGTGCGACTGTCTCAACGGTAACGAGCGCCCCTGCGACGGTTCACGGAACAGTACGGAACGCACACTGACCGATGCTGTGCGACATAGGAGTGGTTAACGACGAGTGTAATGATCGGTCGCACATTTGAACATCCTAGAATCATGATTAGCCGGATAGAGTTCAACGAATGTGACGAAAAGTTAACCTCTTGCGCCAGTAACTGGTTGACGGACCATAACGAGTGACCAAACCGTACAACGATAATTCGTCTTCTTTTTAAATTCCATCGGTATATGACTGAATAGAAATTACTAAGTAAATAAATTTATTATTTGTTTTGCCTGGGCATACTTCGATATATTTAAAACTGAGAAAATATTGCAATTTTGGGCCAAATATTCTCGACGTGCGTGGCACGTCATTCCAGCGCAAGAGGTTAAAAATGTAAGAAATACGTACACGCTTGTACATCGAAAGTCTCCGATTAAATTATCGCATGTTAAAATAGATGGGAAAAAAAAAGGAGAATCCGGATCCAAGGTTCGCTGGGGTTTGAATCAATTGCGCGTACGCCAAATCGCTTTGACACGTTACATGGGCATTTCTCCCCCGTAAGATTTACGCCTCGCACGTCCGTCGTGCTAAAACACGCGCACGCTACGTGCGTTTATGAAGTTGTAAAACTGAATTGCAAAGCATCATTTAAGTACACGATAGACGGACTTAAATTATCGTTTAATGCGCATTGCCTGTTATATCATGCACCACCGTGCCAGCGAGCACGCGCATACGCGGTAACAGACCGGATGCGCGGAGATAGGGAGCGAATTACAACGTTTAAATCATCCGTGTTACGATCGGGTCCGTGTGCGAGACACCGCGTACTCGTGATTTTCCACTTCATAGACTGCTATCGAACTAAACGAACCGATCTTTTTTTTTTTTTTTTTTTTTAATAAATTTTACACGCCTGTAACTTTTTTCGCGAAAATAAATTTGTTTCAAGTAATCAATCGAAATATTGCGACGAGATGATAAAGAAGAAATATTGTTTTATTGAAAAAAAAAAAAAAAATCGTGCGTGCATCTTTGTAATAAAATTACATCATCGTTTCAGCGCTCATTCGTCATTCTGATGATGAAAGTTTCTTTCAATAGCGAAAAAAAAAAAGAAAAAAGAAAAGGGAGGAAATAAGTAACACGTATTTTCCAGTCTTCCGTCGCATTTCAACCGTGCGCACAGAGGCGTGACCGTGAAAACAAGGGATCGATCTCTCGATACGTGTATTCACCTTCCTTTAAGGTTTCATCATGACCCACGGGGAAAATAGTCCAACGCAACAATACTCGCTATTTGCACGCTCGTGCATATATAAATATATATATCTTCGTTGCTTCCTCCCCCATTTCTTTCTGTCTTTGATAATCGCGAATTTTATATATCTCTGTTAGATAGCTATCGATCTTCGTACGTTTCACGTATGACGATAAGAAGATAAGCTTCTCGCTGATCGGCGGATTAATTTTAGATACCATTTATCTCGTATTTATCTAAATATACAACGTCGAGGGTAAGTATGCATGTATACGAATTCGGCAACCAAATTTAAATCGCATTTGCCTCGGCTCACCTGATACGTTCATCGGGCCGCGCGTCGACGCGCACGAACCCACGAAACGGGAAGATCGATCTGACCTGTATCGTACGTATTCCTTTTTCTTTTTTTTTTTTTTTCTTTCTTTTTCTGCCTGCCTGCCTGCCTTCCTTCCGCGGACGTACAATGCACCTCGCGTGGCTACCTACGCGATCTCCCTTCACTCTCCTCCGTTTCCCCTTCCCTAACTGGCGATAGCCAGTGTCCACTGCGTGGCCCCTATGTACCGTGTGCAGCATGCGCACCAGCAGCGCACGCTCGGGAATTGCTGCTGATCGTAATAACGAACCGCGCGATAAATCAGATGCATGCGCGATAACGACGGAAAAAGCCGTGTATCGGTATCGGCGCGCGCGCGCGCGCGAGTGAGACAATAGGGAGAGGAAAAGCGTAACACCGACGTGTGGAGGGGAAAAAAAAGAAGACAAAGGGACAGAAAGAGAAAGAGAGAGAGAGAGAGAAAGGAGGGAACACGGGCGCAGAGACGCAAAGACGAAGAGAAAGAGAAGGCGACCGCACGCTGGCGCAAACATAAACGACTGTACGCGAGTAGGTGGCGCGCTCGTGAATGAAGCACAAAAGCTGTCGTAGTTTCTAGAGTCAGTGACCGGGGGTCCTCCGACTCCCCACTATGGTACCTTAGTGTATCCAGGTTTGTTCCTACCATCGTCACCGTAGCACCACGGTCACCACCATCGTTACCCCTCCAAAAGCGATATCGCATATCCCCACCTCCTCTAATCCACCATCATCCCCCTCCCAACCTCCCTCGCTCCACCCCTCTTTCCCTGCCCCCTGGTGTAACGTTCCCCCCTCCCTCCCTCCTCCCCCCTCAGCCGCGGTTGCCCGTCGCAAGCTAACGTACATACCCTTCTTCACGTCGCTCCCACCTAAGCCTAACTTCCGCCACCCTTTGCCTGTGCCTCTTTGCCTTTATACGTACCCAGTGGGTCTCTGTACGTGCACGTTTCTGATGGCTGGTTCACGTTGAATCGACGACCACAAACGAGAGAAAGAGAAAGAGAAAGAGAGAGAGAAGCATACGGTCAACTAAATCGTTCCCTTCCTCCCCATGCTTCCTTTATCCCCTCTCCCCTCGCCGCGCAGTCGCTCGACTCCCCTTCTTTCTCTCTCCTTCACCTTCTCTCGACTTTTCAATCTTCTATCTGCGCTCGAGAAACTTGTAAACACCTCGCCTGGACGCTCGTCAATCGCGATACACTTTCACGCCACGATATTTAACGCGGTGGAAACCTTCGACTTTAACGCTCGTCGCGAGAGAGATAATGTCATCAGTCAATTCCGATAAATAAAATAACGATTTCCAAGAAAAATTGCGCACAATCTCGGAAC